AGAGAAGAGAAGAGAAGAGAAAGAGTCATAAGAAAGAGCCATAAGAAAGAGTCAGAGGAAAGAGTCAGAAGAAAGAAGATTCAGGTGCGGGAAAAGGTAGAGCAGTCGCGAAACACCGTTTTTCCCGAGAGCCCCGAAGGGTTCTTCGTAAAAAAGCGGCCGTTGTCATGCATCTGCAGATCTACGTCTTCACACCTTCACATCTGCTGATCTACATCTTCACACCTTCACATCTGCCGATCTACATCTTCACACCCTCACATCTGCTGATCTACATCTTCACACCTTCACATCTGCTGATCTACATCTGCTGATTTACATCTTTACACCCTCACATCTGCCGATCTACATCTTCACCTTCACATCTGCTGATCTACATCTTCACAGCCTCACATCTGCAGATCTACTTCCTCGCACCTTCACATCTGCAGATCTTCTCTCTCTCCTCCTTTCTTTCTCTCGCTCTTCTTTCTATCTCTCTCTTAAGGCGGGGACGGTGCCGCCGGAGCGCCACGAAACGTGACAGGCGCAGCATTTCGTGCACATCGGACGTCCAAAACCTAGGTAAAATTGCGCTTTTAGTTCGTCCGCTGCAGCCCTTTCGCACGGAATGGACGTTGAACGTCAAAAACTTATGTAAAATTGCGATTTTTGTCGGCCCCGCCGCACGAAATGGACGTTGTTGGCCCGCCGCAACCCTTTCGCACGAAATGGACGTTGGACGTCAAAAACTGACGTAAAATTGCGATTTTAGTTTGTCCGCCGCAACCCTTTCGCACGAAATGGACGTTGAACGTCAAAAACTGACATGAAATTGCAATTTTAGTTAGTCCGCCGCAACCCTTTCGCACAAAATGGACGTTGAACGTCAAAAACTGACGTAAAACTGCGATTTTGAGGTGTCAGTCGCAACCCTTTCGCGCGAAATGGACATTGGACGTCAAAAACTGAGATAAAATTGCGATTTTGGAGCGGGTGCAGAGATGCATTCAAAACAATATTGTCGACATATTTCTTCTGTGGATATGGTCTTGCGTTCATTCTTTGGAGATTGTGTTTTGTGATTGTTCCATGTTCTGTAGGGCCCGAGAGCGTAGAGGAGCAGGGTCTTAGTATTGAGACACTATAGTACAAGACAATATATTAAAGATGTATTCTAGGCAGATGAGAAGAGTAGTATCTAGACAATATATTACAAGTACAAGACACTAGTTTGCATCGTATCCTTCGTATTGCTTTTCACACACAGAACCTTTTACATACAGACGCTTTTGCACAGAAGCTGTTACACACATGAGCTTTTACACACAGAGACTTTTACACACAGACGCTTTTACACACAGACGCTTTTACACACAGAAGCTTTTGCAACCGCATTATCATTGCAAGAGTCATTCAACTGGTTTTTGTTTCCGATCTTTTGGTGGGAGCCTCAAGTAGATGCAGAGATGCATTTAAAGCAATACTGTCGACATCTTTCTTCTGTGGATATGGTCTTGCATTCATTCTTTGCAGATTGTGTTTTGTGATTTGGAACGGCTGCATTGAAAGTTGATATCTGTTTCCTGTTGAGGTGGCATGTGACTGCAAGGATCGATTTGTGTTTAGTTGAATCATGGAGTCCTGTGGGATTCGAGAATGGAGTTTTCACAACCGCATTATCATTGCGAAAGTCATTCAACTCCGATCTTTTGGTGGGAGCCTCAAGTGGATGCAGAGATGCATTTAAAGCAATACTGTCGACATCTTTCTTCTGTGGATATGGTCTTGCAGTCATTCTTTGGAGATTATGTTTTGTGATTGTTCCATGTTCTGTCGGGGCTGTCCGTGGACATGGAACGGTTGCATTGAAAATCGAGTTCTGGTTTTTGTTGAGGTGGCATGTGACTGCAAGGGCTGATGTGTGTTTAGCATGATAATACCGAGCTTTTGTAAAGTTTTTTGGAATTCTTCACGGTATAATGGTACCCAGTTGGACATCGGCTGAGGGTGGATGATTGATAGCACCCGCGCTAGGAATGTGTGGAGCTCGGTTGCTTTAGTTGAAGTGAGGGTGATGATGGCATTCACGATGTCCATTGGTGAAACCTTGTTTGTGTTGCATGGGGTGAAAGGGGATTGCAGTGGAGTTGCTAGTAGCTGTGCACAGTGTTGCTGCTTTTGTTTTTGGTGGACAACATGGAAATGACAAGAATTGTCGGTGAACATGCTTGCTAGTGAGCATTATCTGCATGCAAAATGTTTGGTTCAAGTTGCGCACCCGTGACACCCTTGAAAGCATTGTGGTTACTGTTTCATTTTCTGAAGGGACTGTCCGTGAGAATGGAGCAGCTTAAACAGTTGCAGGCCATTGAGTCGTTAAATGGTGTGAAAGGTCGTCGTATGTTGGATTGAAAAGAAGAGTTGAATTTTGGGTTGGTGGCGCATATGAGATGTTCAAAAGAGAGCGCCTGCGAAGGGTTCTTCGTAAAAAAGCAGCCGTTGTAATACATCTGCAGATCTACGTCTTCACACCTTCACATCTGCTGATCTACATCTTCACACCTTCACATCTGCTGATCTACATCTTCACACCTTCACATCTGCAGATCTACATCTTCACACCTTCACATCTGCTGATCTACATCTTCACACCCTCACATCTGCTGATCTACATCTTCACACCTTCACATCTGCTGATCTACATCTGCTGATCTACATCTTTACACCCTCACACCTGCCGATCTACATCTTCACACCCTCACATCTGCTGATCTACATCTTCACACCTTCACATCTTCTGATCTACATCTGCTGATCTACATCTTTACACCCTCACATCTGCCGATCTACATCTTCACACCTTCACATCTGCTGATCTACATCTTCACACCTTCACATCTGCCGATCTACATCTTCACACCTTCACATCTGCCGATCTACATCTTCACACCCTCACATCTGCTGATTTACACCTTCACACCTTCACATCTGCCGATCTACATCTTCACACCCTCACATCTGCTGATCTACATCTTCACACCTTCACATCTGCAGATCTACATCTTCTCACCTTCACATCTGCTGATCTACATCTTCACACCTTCACATCTGCTGATCTACATCTTCACACCTTCACATCTGCAGATCTTCTCTCTCTCCTCCTTTCTTTCTCTCGCTCTTCTTTCTATCTCTCTCTTAAGGCGGGGACGGCGCCGCCGGAGCGCCACGAAACGTGACAGGCGCAGCATTTCGTGCACATCGGACGTCCAAAACCTAGGTAAAATTGCGATTTTAGTTCGTCCGCTGCAGC